CTCCGATCCCGGCCCGATTTTATCTTCCCCGGTTCGCACTCACGTTAGAAGGCTCTCTCAGTGGATTCTGCGTCCTTTTTCTCCCAGTCTCTCAGGTTTTGTAAGGTTTCCAATGGCTTCAGATCTTTTCTGTGTGATGTATGGGCGCGAGTGCAAGTACGGAGCTCCTTACTTCTCCGCCATCTTGCCCCACCAGTCGGAACCAACATTTTAAAAAACCATACATTTTAAAAAATTATTCACCATGACCAAGTAGGATTTATACCTGGGATGCAGGGCTGGTTCAATACCTGCAAAACCTCAGCAATCAGACAACACAAATAAAGGGCATCAAAATCAGCTAGGAGGAGGTCAGACTTTCACTCTTCAGAGATGACATGATACTCTATATAGAAAAACCAAACGATTCCATGAAAAAGCTGCTAGATCTGATCCATGAATTCAGCAATGTCACAGGATATGAAATCAATGCACAGAAATCAGTTGCATTCCTATACACCAATAATGAAACAACAGAAAGAGAAATCAAGGAATCGATCCCATATACAGTTGCACCGAAAACCATAAAATACCTAGGAACAAATCTAACCAAAGAGTTGAAAAATCTATACACTGAAAATTATATAAATCTTATGAAAGAAATTGAAGAAGACACAAGAAAATGGAAAATTATCCCATGCTCCTGGTTAGGAAGAACAAATATTGTTAAAATGTCAATACTACCCAAATCAATCTCCATATTCAATGCAACCTATTAAAAACAACACCAGCATTCTTCAGAGCTAGAACAAACAATCCTAAAATTTGTACAGAACCACAAAAGACCCCAAATAGCCAAAGCAATCTTGAACAAGAAAACCAAAGCTGGAGGCATCACAATCCCAGACTTCAAGCTGTATTACAAAGCTGTAATCATTAAGACTGTATAATACTGGCACAAATACAGACACTCAGATCAATGGAACAAAATAGAGAACCCAGAAATTGACCCACAAATGTATGGCCAACTAATCTTTGACAAAGCAGGAGAGAATATTCAATGGAATAAAGACTATCTCTTCAGCAAGTGGTACTGGGAAAACTGGACAACAACATGCAGAAAAATGAACCTGGACCACTTTCTTACACCATACACAAAAATATACTCAAAAGAGTTTATGAAAGAACTAAATGTAAGACAGAGAGCCATCAAAATTCTAGAGGAGGAAGCAAGCAAAAACCTTTTTGACCTCAGCCACAGCAGCTTCTTACTCAACATGTCTCTGGAGGCAAGGGAAACAACAGCAACAATGAACTATTGGGACCTCATCAAAATAAAAAGTTTCTGCACAGTGAAGGAAACAATCAGCAAAACTAAAAGGTAACCAACGGAATGGGAGAAGATATTTGCAAATGACATATAAGATAAAGGGTTAGTATCCAAAATCTATAAAGAACTTATCAAACTCAACACCCCCAAAAAAACAAATAATCCAGTGAAGAAATGGGCAAAAGACATGAACAGACACTTCTCCCAAGGAGACATCCAGATGGCCAATACATGAAAAAATGTTCAACATGGGGCGCCTGGGTGGCTTAGTCGGTTAAGCGTCCGACTTTCGCTTAGGTCATGATCTCGTGGTTCGTGGGTTTGAGCCCCGCGTCGGGCTCTGTGCTGACTGCCAGCTCAGAGCCTGGACCCTGCTTCAGAGTCTGTGTCTCCCTCTCTCTCTGACCCTCCCCTGCTCGCACTGTCTCTCTCTCCTAGAAATAAATAAAACATTAAAAAAAAAAAAAGAAAAAATCTTCAACATCACTTACCAGGGAAATACAAATCAAAACCACAATGAGTTACCACCTCACACCCATAAGAATGGCTAACATTACAACTCAGGCAACAACCCAGTTTGAGCCTCGCATGCTAAGCCTGGAGCCTGCTTCAGATTCTATATCTCCTCCTCTCTCTGCCCCTCCCATGTTCATGCTCTGTCTCTCTGTCTCTCAATAGTAAATAAACATTAAAAAAAATAAGAATCCCTTGGTCCATTTCAAATGGACCATTCATTATTACTTTTACAAATTGCTGAAATAACCAGAGAAGCCTCAGACATATCTACTAAAACTTCATTTAACATTGTTGTATGCCATTCTATTTTCACAAAATGTAGTGAAAGTTGTTCTATCCAATCTTATATTTTGTGGTTCTTATTGGTAAAGATATCCAAGCTGGTTCCCTCCGCTTCTTAGGTTGCAGTGAATATATATTTGGGCTACAAAGATCATAGCACAACTTTTAACAATTATTCATGGTCTCAGCCATTCATTACAACAAAGCAAGGTCCCTATTATGGCGTCAGATTTATGATAGGTTTACAACCTCTGACACATGCTTTCCTATAACCATCTTTCATTCACAAAATATTAGCTATTTTATTTGACCCAAGTCACCAATCCTAGTTATCTCCTTTTTAATTTAAATTCCTTTTTAATATCTTTCTTGTGCTTTACCTCTTGTTTGACCTAGTTAGTAGTTTCTAAATCCAGCAAATGTTCAAATCCCATAAAACCTCAAATGAAATTGTACGTAATCTCAATGCTGGTACTGCTGCAAATTTACTCATATTCCTTTCTCCAGCTACAAGGTATATGCATAAGGAGAACTGGTAGGCACTTTTTAAATCATATCTTTCTATATGACTGATGCCTACTTAATTTACAATTACATAACCTAAAAATGGCATAAAATAGTCTTGAGAGAGGCAACGAATTTCTGACTCATGGTAACTTTTTATGATGTGGGACTATGGTTTATAACTTGAACTATAAACAAAAATGTCATGTTCCATCTCCATTTTATACTCCTACAGTATGAATGTCCTTTTATTATAAACTTGGAAGTTATAATATTAACATACACTCCTCAAAATGATTTAAGTTTTTATAAAAAGATCACGTTGTAGGGGCAGCTGGGTGGCTCAGTCGGTGCAGCATCTGACTGATTTGATTCCAGCTCAGGTCATGAACCCAGGGTCATGGGATCAAGCCCTGTGTTGGGCTCTGCACTGAACATGGAGCCTACTTAAGATATTCTCTCTCTCTCTCCCCCTCTTCCCCACCCTCTGTCCCTTTCTCCCTCTCACATGCTCTCTCTCTCTAAAAGAAAAATTAAAAACAATTAAAAAAAGATAGCATTGTGTAGAAAAAGCACTGGTTAAGAAATTATGCAGTATCAGTTTTGTCATATCTTGATTTGTTTTCTTGATCAAGTCCCTAAACATGTCGTTATAATGAGGCTTTATAATTGGTAAAATCCTTTTAAATTTTATGAAATTTTTGATTATACAATTCATACATTGTGTTTTTCTCTTTTACTATAATAACAAATGCTAATTAAGTTTATACAACACACACACACACAGCCACGTATTAATGCTTACCTTTTAAAGTGCTTGGCGATTTTTTTTTTTTTGGTCTATAGAGACTAATGTAGAACACTTGACATATAATGTTGGAAGAGAAAAAGTAATTGATGAAATCAAGACGCAACATAAAAGTCACCCTGGTAAGAAATTTTTTTCAAGTCTAATATTTATGATTTATGTCTTTTTGGGGATTTTATTAAGTATGGATCTTTAATGACAACAGTAACTATATATTATTTCATGGGTAAAAATCTTCATGAATTCCCTCGTATAATTAATTAAACTCTAGTGTTTGATATCAGTGGAAAATCAGCTAGATATTATTAATTTTAAAACTCGTTCATTTAGAAAGTAAGCCATAATATCCAGTGCTCTAATGACCTTAGAATATACTTGGTGTAGTATTTCTCACTGCTATTCTATTCACTTTCCTTTTGGAAAGGAAAATTGCCTTAACCTGGAAAAATCAGTAAAGACTAGTTGATGAGTGTTATAAGAGCATTATAACAGTTATTTCATTGGTTACCAATTCTCTGTATATAATTAAGTTGTCATGTGAACTTACATCTCTTTTAGAGTAGTTGTCTACACTACTGCTTCTAATCTGGAGTAACATTGTTAGATACATTTCTCTTTGGTGCAAGAAATATTGTAGTCATGACTTTTTGCAGAAATGATCCTGAAATCTAGTATTTGGAAATAGTTGAATCTCAAATACAAGCACCAAAATATGTGCTCTTGGTGAAATTTAAGATTAAGGCAAGATTTCTGAAACTTTGCTTTTGAATGCTTTATTTCATTATATCACACATTTATTTCTGAAAAAAAAAAGAGTTAAAAGTAATTAAATATCTTCTCGCACTCAGAATATTGCCTTTAATTTTGTTGATTGTTTTCTTCACTGTGCAGAAGCTTTTATTTTGAGATAGTTGCAATAGTTTATTTTTGATCTCCCTTGCCTCAGAAGATATATCTAGAAAACTGTTGCCTCAGCCAATGTCAGGGACATTACTTCCTGAGCTCTCTTCTAGGATGTTTATGGTTTCAGGCCTCACATTTAAGTCTTTAATTCGTTTTGAGTTCCATTTGCTATGAGATGGATGGAGCTAGAAAGTATAATGCTAAATGAAAAAAGTCAGAGAAAGACACCACTCATATGTGGAATTTAAGAAACAAAACTAATGAGCAATGGGAAAAAGGAGAAAGAGAAAGACAAACCAAGAAATAGACTCTTAACAATAGGGAACAAACTGATGATTACCAGAGGGCAGGTAGGTGGGGGATGGGTGAAATAAATGATGGGGATCAATGAGGGCACTTGTGATGAGCACCGGGTGATATATGGAATTGTTGAATCACTATATTGTACACATGAAACTAATATAACATTATATGGAAACTAACTGGAATTAAAATAAAATTTAACAATGAAACAAATTTTTTAATGTTTTATTTTTATTTTTGAGAGAGAGAGAGAGCGATAACTCATGAATGGGGGAAGAGCAGAGAGAAGGGTGGGGACAGAAGATTCAAAGCAGGCTCTTCATTGGCATGTAGCTCAGTGGTAAAGCATTTGACTGCAAAGCAGGCTCTTCACTGACAGCAGCAAGCCCACTCAATGCAGGGCTCAAACTCATGAACCTGAGATCATGACCTGAGCAGAAGCTGGATGCACAACCTACTGAGCCACCCAGGTGCCCCACAAATAAAAATTATTTACTCCAACAGCTTATGACTAAGCCATTATAAAAATAAAATTGTTTGAATCAAGCAATTAAATTTGTTTGTGTTTCACTCTAGCAAATTTGATAAAGTATGAAGAGTCATTTTCCTATGTCTCTAATTTTCAGACTATTTTTGTTTTGGTACTTTCAATTACTGTTTGCTTTAATGTTCCTTATTATTTGGCGTCCTCATCAATTTTAAATAATAACCCTTGGCATGGCAATGAGGTACTCTTATCTACATTTAGTCAATTCAAAATATCATATCCTTTAAGATCAAAATTTATTTAGTTAATTAACCTATGCTTATTTACTAATTGTGAATTTATAATTAAATGTTCTAAACAAAATTTGGAAGAAATTGCTAAGACAAAAGGAGTTAAAACAAGACTATAGCTCAAATATAGGAATGAATATTTATGTTTAAGATAAATGAATGTGAATTAAAGGTCAAGATTAAGAAAGATGTTATCTAAGAATATAGAACAAAAAAGGGAGAGAAAAATTTAAAAGTAGTTTATAGAAATTGGAAGGATAGACAAGTAACCACTCAAATATGAAAAGAAGAGATCCCTAGTTAGCTGAGTCAGTTAAGGGTCTGACTCTTGATTTTGGGTCAGGTCATGATCTCAGGGTCATGAGATCCAGCCCCGTGTAGGAGTCTGCATGGGATTCTCTCTCTCCCTCTCTCTGCACTTCCCCGCCTTTTCTCTCTCCTTGTCTCTCTCTTTCAAAATAAGTAAATAAGCATTTAAAAATATGAAAATAAAAATTACAAATGCAATAATAAAGACCAAAACATGGAGACTAGGGAGTGGTATGAAAATATTCATAATGTCTTCGTGAAATTCTTTTTCATTTTATTTTAGTTGCACATTTATTAAGAAACAGGTATATGTCTACACAAGATCAAGAAAATATTTTTACCAGTCACATTGCACCACATAAATCCTCGACAAATAAGACCCATTTTTCATCCTTTAACAATCAATGTAGAAGATATAACAATGTAAAATAACTAATTACCTAAAATACTTTTTGTAGCATGATTTTTTACTTTTTATGAAGTATTTTAAGCATTCAGAAACTATGTAACACTAATATTTAAAAAATATCATGTCATTCTAATGGCTCCTACTCTTTGTTATTATAATCCCATTCCCTTCTTTCTCAGCTCTTACCTCTGCCATCATAAGCCGTATATAGTAATGACGTTCTGTACAAGTACTTTCCAAAATACTTGGTTGTATACTTCCTTTTATAGTGAAATTGTCCACCTTGTGTTCTCCTCCACCTCCCACATTATTCCAGTCAATCAACTTTATAAAAATATGTATACCACACACACACACACACACACACACACACAATTTTTAGCAGAGATCTGCAAGTTATATGCTTTCACTTCTATTTTGTTTGTTTTCATGAGTATCTTTTATGCCTTCTCAGCAATAGTTTTTAAAAAATTTTTTCTTTAATATTTATTTATTTTTGAGAGAGAAAGAGAGACAGACTGAGAGTGGGGAAGGGACAGAGAGAGATGGAGACACAGAATATGAAGCAAACTCCAGGCTCTGAGCTGTTAGCCCATAGCCTGATGCAGGGTTTGAACTCACAAAGCGTGAGATTATGACCTGAGCCAAAGTCCACTGCTTAACTGATTAAGACACCCAGGTGCTCCTGAGCAAAAGTTTTTAAAATTCATTTTTAAAATCTAGCATTTTAGTTAGAATTAGATCATTAGAATAGCTAGTCTTCTGTACCACTTGCATCCAAAATTATATTCAATACTTAATACCAAGATGTACCAAAATATTTAAACAATCTATTCTTGATATTTTCATGAAAATGAAATGAAGAATAAACATAAATTTGACAGTATGGAGCCATTACCCTAGCATGCATTAAGGTTTTTTTCTTTAGTGACTTAGTCCTTCCCAGCTTTTACTCATATTTGACAAATGTTAATGACTAGTTTGGAATTGTCAATAGTATTTTATTTTCTCAATTACAACCTCTTTCTAAGCCTCTCAGCCTGTGGTTTCAGTTTACTTTAGCCAATGATTAAATAGTATGAGGCTTATAATTATTTGTTTAAATGAAAATGTTCTGCAATTAGCACATGTTGCTTTTAAAATCAGTAGGATCAATGGGCACCTGGGTGACTCAGTTGGTTAACCATCCAACTTCAGCTGTAGTCATGATACCATAGTTCGTGGGTTCAAGCCCCATATCAGGTTCTGTGTTGATAGTGCAGAATCTGGAGCCTGCTTCAGTTTCTGTGTCTCCCTTTCTTTCTCTGCCCCTCCCCTGCTCATGCTCTGTTTCTCTCTCTCTCTCTCTCAAAAAGTAAATAAAAACAGTTTTATTTATTAAAAATAAAAGCAGGGGGATTGTTAAAAAATCGAATAAACATTAACTGAATTGGTGATTGGGAACCAGTGGTTATGTGTACAGCTCTGATTGTCAGAGATATCCTTATGAATGCATCCTTCTAAATGTAGATTACATGTCAAATACAAAAATGAACATTCTGGTCAAAACTAAAACAGCATTCATATAAAGGACAAAATTAAGGAAGATGCTGAGAATAAGAAACGCTGTCCTTCAGACAAAAAACTGTATGTGCCACCCTCTATATCAGGTAAAAAATAGCGAGGGCTGTGCTGCTAATTATTCTAATTTACCTAGGCTAAAGAAGATCTTTTGTATATGTACATTTGCAGATACTAAAAGCCCTACTGTATTAAAATGTTATGAGAGAAAAAACGTTCTCAATGAGCAGGGAGAAAGCTTTCTAGAAAGGACTTTGACATAATTGAGTATATCAGAGAACTAAAAACAATAAGTAAGATTTCCTGTAAAATATTGGCAAGAGAGTAGGAGTATCACAGTGATGACATCAATATTGTAGGAGTTACACTTTGTTACCATCTCCCCTCCCCGCCCCATTCAAAGAAAATCAATTTGATGATCATCCACAGATGAGAGAGGCTTTGTTAAGTCTAGGAGTCCATGGAAGAAGTTCCAACACACTGTTGGAGCAACAACAAAATCTGAGATTGAGTACATTGTGGAGGGCAAAAGAACAGTTTGACTTTACTGCACCACTCCTTCAGGACAGGCATATGTCAGTGTCAAGAGAGCCCTTTTCATCCTGAGATTTCTCCCATTGGAAAGTGAGAGCATGTGAGCAAAGTACCCAGCTTCTTTGACAGTATGCAGGATTCTGTCAAAAAGACCCATTTCTCTCTTTTCTTATCCAGAGAACTGACTCATAAGCTGTATGACCGTAGGACATAAAGTGGCTAAGACAACAGCAGCCAAGGCTCAGAACTGAATGTATAAAAGGGAAGTGACTGCTAAGTGTGTAAGGACTCCATCAGGAGCCTGCACATCAGCTGCTGAAGATCCCTCACCTGTGGATCCCCCAAAACTGACCCACAGGCACCTCCAGCACTTCATGCATCTCACTCACACAAACTCCACCCTGTGGCTGGCTCCCTGTGCATGCACCCAACTGCAACAAGAGTGAGCTTTCACAGACAGTGGACACCCACAGAAAGCAGACCTGGAAGAAACCATAAAGTTGCCATAAGGAAAACAAAAAGGAGGCTTTGAGCAACGAGCCTGTCTTTATAGCACAGAAACAAGGCTTAAGAATCCTCCCAGAAAAGAGAGCAAAATGTGTGGAACAGGCATACCTGTAGAAATGGTCTGAAAAAATTTCAGAATCCCTAACAGGGCTGACAAGGGATTTCTCTCTCTGGAAGCCAGTCAATAAACCTGGAGGAGGTGACTACTTTTTAAAATGCAATGACAGGGGCGCCTGGGTGGCTGTCAGTTAAGTGTCCAACTTTGGCTCAGGTCATGATCTCACGGTCCGAGGGTTCGAGCCCTGCGTCTGGCTCTGTGCTGACAGCTAGCTCAGAGCCTGAAGCCTGTCTTCGGATTCTGTGTCTCCCTCTCTCTGACCCTGCCCTGCTCGTGCTGTCTCTCTCTCACTCTCTCTCTCAGAAATAAAAAAACATTTAAAAAAATGTAAAAAACAACAACTTTTCACCACAAGGAACAACAAAAGAAGAAAACAGACACTAAGCCCAAAGTTAGCAAAAATAAAGAAAAATTTTTAAATAATAAATAATAAATATAAATTAATAAACTGATGATAGGAGGTTGTTTTTTGAAAAGGTAAATACAGTTGACAATACTTTAGCTAGACTAAATATTTTTTTCTACAAAAAAGGAAAGACTCAAAAGTCAGAATTGAAAGAGTAGACATTAAAATGATACACTATAGATTCGAAGATTATGAGATAGAATGAATAATTAGAAGCCAACAAACTAGATAACCTAGAAGAAATGTATAAATTCCTAGAAACATATCATCTACAAAGACTGAATTGTAAAGAAATAGAAAATCTGAACAGACCAATGATAAGGTTATTGAATCAGTAACCAGAAACCACCCATCAAACAAAAGTCCACACCTAGATAATTTCACTGGTAAATTCTACCAAACATTTAAAGAATACTTAATGCCAATCTTTCTCAAACACTTCCCAAAAATTGAAGAGAAATAAATTCTATCAAGCTCATTTTACAAGGCTAGCAGTACCCTCTTACCAAAGGACACTACAAGAAAACTATTAGCTTCATAAATAATATCCCCGATGAAAACTGATGCAAAAATTCTCAACAAAATTTCATCAAAACAAACTCAACAGCACACTAAAAGGATAATATTCTGTGACCAATTGGGATTTATCCATGAGATGCAAAGATGGATCTACATATATAAATCATTATATGTGATACACCACATTAACAAAATGAAGTAAAATCATATGGTCACCTCAATAGATTCAGAAAAGATATTTGACAAAACCTAACATCTTTTCATGATAAACTCTCAATAAACTTGGTATAGAAGGAACATATCTCAACATAATAAAGATCATTTATGACAAGTACACAGGTGAAAGATTGAAAGGTTTTCAGCTAAGATCAGGAAAAGGGTGCCCATTCTCATCATTCCTATTCAACTTAGTACTGGAAATCTTAGAGCAGTTAAGCAATAAAAAGAAATGAAAGGCATCCAAATTAGAAAAAATGAAGTTTGCAAATGATATGATCTTATATAGAGAAAATCCTAAAGATTCTGCCATAAAACTGTTAGGACTGATAAATGAAGGCAGTAAAGTCAAAGGATACAAAATCAAAATACAGAAATCAAATGAGTTTCTATGCACTAAAAATGAAATATCTGAAATAGAAATAAGGAAAACAGTCTCATTTACAGTAACATCAAAACAATCGAATAAATATTCAGAATACTTTATTCAAAACATTATTTATTCTGAATAAATTTAAACAAGATTGATAATAATTTAATCATAAGAACTATAACATTTTGATGAAAGTAATTGAAGATGTACAAATAAATGAAATGATATCCTAGGTTTATGGATTGGAAGTTAATGTTTTTAAAATGTTGATACTATCCGAAAAGCCATCTATAGATTCAATGCAGTCTCTATTAACATTTCAATGGAATTTTCCCCAAAATAGAAAAAAAAAAAACAATCTTAAAGTTTGTTTGGAACCACAAAAGACCCTGAAGAGCCAAAACAATCCTGAGACAGAACAAAGCTGGAGGCATTACTTTCCTTATTTCAAATTATATTACAAAGGTATAATAATCAAAACAGGATAGTACTGACATAAAAACAGACCATACATCAATAGAACAGAATCAAGAGCCTGAATAAATCCTCATATATATTGACAATATTTGACAAGGGAGCTAAGAATACTTAATGGGAAACAATAGTCTCTTCAATGAATAATGTTGGAAAATTGGTTATCAATATGCAAGAATAAAACAACCATATTTTTTATCAGTAACAAAAATTAATTTGAAACAGATTAAAGATTTATGTGGGATCTGAAAAAAAAAAAAATGAAACCTCAATGCCCCTGGAAGAAAACAGATAAAAAGTTCCTTGACATATACCTCAGAAATGATATTTTGAACATTACACCAATAAACAAGGCAAAAACAGGTGGGACATCAAACTAAAAAGCTTCTGCTCAGTAAAAGAAACCATCAACAAAATGAAAAGGCAACCTACAGAATGCAAGAAAATATTTAAAACCATCTATCTGATAATAACTTAATATTCAAAGTACATAAGAAACTCTTACAACTCAGCAGCAAAAAAAGGAGTAGGAGGGGCAGGGGGAGTAGAAGGAAAAACCCTAAAACTAAACAATGCTATTATAAATGGTCAGAGGATGTAAATAGACATTTTTCAAAGAAAACATACAAAGAAGCCAATGGGTTCATAAAAAAGTGCTCGACATCACTAATCAAGGAAATGCAGATCCAACCTACAATGAAATATCCTCTCACACCCATTAGAATGATTATCATCAAGAAGACAAATAATATAAAAATGTTGAGGTGTGGGGAAAGGGTAACACTTGCACGGTGTTGGTAGGATTGTAAGTTGGTGCAACCACTATGGAAAACGGTATAGATGTTCCTCCAGAAATTAAATAGAACTACCATGTGATCCAGTGATTTCACTCTTTCAAATTGATCTCTGCACTCCTATATTCATTGCAGCACTATTCACAATAGCTGAGACAACCTAAATGTCCACAGATAGATAAAGAAATAAAGGCAATTTGATATAAAATATACAGTGGAATATTATTCAGCTATATATAAAAAAAAGAAGGAAATCCTGGACCACCTGGGTGACTCAGTTAAGCATCCCACTCTTCATTCAAGTTCAGGTCATGATCTCAAGGTTTGTGAGACGGAGCCCTGCATCAGGAATAAACTTTCAAAATAAATAAATAAACATTAAAAACAGAAAGGAAGGAAATCTTGCCATTTGTCATGTTATGGATGGAGCTTGAGATCATTATATAAAATGAAATAAGTGTGGCATCTGTATGCTCTCATTCATGTGTAGAATATAAAAAATCTGAATTCATAGAAGCAGAGAATGGAAAGATGGTTGCTAGGTGCTGAGGGGTGGAGGAAATGAGGAGATTTGGGCCAAAGGGTACAAACTTCCAGTTAGAAGAAGAATAAACTCTGGAATCTAATGTATAGTGTGATGACTGTAGTGAAAAGATTATATTATATACTTGAAAGTTGCTAGGAGAATAGATCTTCAATATTCTTAGCACAAAATAAAAAGTAGTTATGTGAAGTGATGTAGGTTTTAACTAATCCTATTGTAATCCTTTCATAATATATACATGTATCAAATCATCACATTGTATACCTTAAATTTACACAATGCTATATGTCAATTATATCTCAATAAAGCTGGATAAAATAAAATGAAAATGTGGCATAGACATACAATGGAATGTTATTCAGTATTGGAAAAGTAGGAAATCCTTCCATATGCAACAACATGGATGAACCTGAAGACATTAACGCTAAGTCTAAGCCACAGGGCAAATACTAAATAATTCCATTTATATTAATATAAAAGAGATAAAGGAGATTAAAAGTACACTTATCATGATGAGCACTCAGTAATGTATAGAACTGTTGCATCATATTGTATGCCTGAAACTAATATTACATTATGTTAATTATACTTCAATAAAAAATTAAAATAAAAATAAATTTTAAAATAAATATTTAAAAGTATCAAACTCACAGAAGCAGAGAATGAATGATGGCTTCCAGGGGCTAGGGTAGGAAGAAATGAGTAGTTGTTCAATATGTATAATGTTACAGTTATACTAGATGAATAAGTTCTAGAGATCTTCTGTACCACATTGTGCCTATAGTTAACAATATAGTGTTGTATATTTAAAAATCATTAAGGGGGGTAGTATTTGTGCTAAATGATCTTACCATAAAAGGAAAAAGGAAACTTGAGAAGTCTTTTGGAGGTGATGGGTATGTTTAACACCTTGATTGTGGTTTCAGTGTTGCAGGTGTACACATATGTCTAAACTTATCAAAATGTATATACATTAAACATGTGCATTTTTTGTACAGAAGTATACCTCAATGAGATTGAAAACAGGAAGAGGCTATCAAGGAACACAGAATAATAACAAGGAAGAGAAAATGATCAAATAGTTTATACAAGCTAGAGCAATAAACAAGTGGCCACTTAATAAAATGTGGGAAGGAAACATTACAAATATACAAATAAGGACTAGTACATGGTGTTTGGAGAGTAGTGTATGAATATTCATAGTCTTCATGTAATCTTTAAAAATTTTTATTTCAGGTATGAGTTCATTTGAAGACAAAAATACGTTTCCACATCATCAAGATTCACTTATGAAGAACACCACAATGAGTAAATTCCCAATAAAAGTGATCAATTTATCACCCTTTGGCAACCTAGGTAAAAAAAAAAAAAAAAAAAAAAAAGATATGTGTATGTGTGTGTGTGTGTGTATAAAATAAGTATATATTTAATTATAGTAGTTTATAATATATATATAGTTTTGTAGTATGACTTTTCATTTTACTTATTTTGCATTTTACATATTTTTGGTAAATCCTTGCAAGTCAGATAATGAAATGGCTTTAACTTATGCTTTTTCTAGTAGTATAATGTTTTGTAGTATAGGATTTTTTATTTAATCACTCTTTTATAAAAGGGACTTAATTTTTTTAGCTTTTCACCACTGGTATATGTGTCCATGAACATAGGGATTCTTATATATTGTGCTTATATTTCTTGGGGAAGAGTCTCAAGACTTCTAATCTTAAAAGAAACTTCCAGATTGCTTTCCTAAAAGGTTATTAAAATTAACATTTTCTCCAGAAATCGTGGAGAAAAAATCCTTTTCTCTGCATAACCATCAATCGTATACGTGGGTGTTTTGTTTGTTTCATTTCTGCCCATCTGAGTTATTAAATCCTATTTAAACCTTATTTTAATTCTGTCCATATTTGTTAGTGTTTTGTTTTTGTTTTTGTTTTTGTTTACTGCATAACTACTCCAAAACTATTTAGCTTAAAATAATAACTCAGGATTCAGAGTTCATGATTTGGGAGTTAGCAATGTAGACTATTTTGGGCTGGGCTATCTTGTTATCTTTGGTCATCTTATAATCAGTAGCTTCACTCACATGTCTAAGAAATTGGCTTGCTGTTCTTTGGGAAAACAGGATATATAATTGGGATTCGTCAAGAGATAAAAACCTCACAAGTTGTTTGAAAAAAAAGAGCAAAAATGTAAAAACTCATTAACTAAGTATAAAGTTGTTAACTAGTTAACTGAAAGTGTAAAAGAATTCTAAGATAACATGGAAGCAATGTGAGGAAGAAGTTGCCACTCCTACAGCTGATGAAGGCATATGAGTAGAAAATACAGCTTGACTGGTGCTGATATGTCTGATTTTTCAGGAGAGGTCTCAGACATGCTTCTGAAGAGGGGATGTTGCTATTGTCTCAGCTGTTGAAGATTTAAATAAAACTGGTTTTGCAAATATTGGGAAAAATACAAATCATTTATGTTGCAAAAAGAACTTCTGCTTCTAGGTTAAAGAAACATGCTGGGATGAAGTTCACAGACACAGAAAGGAGACAGGAAGCTCTCAGGAAGCCCATTGGTAGCCAACCTTGTTACTCCTCCAAACTTGCAGTCTCTCTAGGGCATGCCCTATTTGCATTGCCCTAATGTTGAGTTACCTAGCAAAACAAAAATGTGGTTATCAGAGTCCTGGATCCAGTACCATAAAGCAGACTACAGAAGGATGGTTTGGATGCTAAGAGAAAACAAACTTTTCAAGTGACACAGGAGGTGACTTGGCTCCTTGTCTCTCATCATCTAGCTAGTAGATTAAGACTCTTCATGGGGTGCCTGGGTGGCTTAGTTGGTTAAGCGTCCGACTTTCGCTTAGGTCATGATCTCACGGTTCGTGGGTTCGGGCCCCGCGTCAGGCTCTGTGCTGACTGCCAGCTCAGAGCCTGGAGCCTATTTCAGTCTGTGACTCCCTCTCTCTCTGACCCTCCCCTGCTCACGCTGTCTCTCTCTCTGTCTCCTAGAAATAAGTAAACATTAAAAAAAAAAAAAAAGACTCTTCGTGTTGTAACCTCAGGTTCTAAGAGTGGAATGTGAGAAAGCCCAATGTACAAGCAATTTTGAAGTCTTTGTTTGCATTTGTTATCTTTTGTTCCATTTACTAAAGTTATATAGCCATCCCATATGGGAGGATATGAATACCGGTAGTCAAGAACACATTGGGGCCATTATTGAAACCAGTCCATCATAGTGTGTCCTCTGGTTGCAAATATTCTTAATACTCGTCCCACGCAAAGTACATGTGCTCTTCCTGAAACCCTACAAATTTATATTAAAATTTTGCACTTGGGCCAAAGATCACACTTCTGTGATCTATAATCATTTTCAGAGGCAGCTCCTCTGATGTGACTTCCTGCAAAACACACACACACACACACACACACACACACACTACACAATAGAGTAACAAGGCAGGAATAGGCCCCTCAGTAGCCAGTCCCCTACAAAAAAATGGCAAAATAAAAAAAAAATGCATATAGCAGTGAATGATCCATACAGCATACAGTTATCTTTTTCATCATTCAATTATATTATATTTTAATTATATTATAATTTTCTCAATAAAACCATCCATGGAAAAAAGAAATTGGGAGATCCTAGGATGAAATGCAGACTGGGACATACAGAACATACAAATATATGACAATTGATGTCAGCATCATGATAGCATAGCATGTCCCTTCTTTTGTGCTCCCATTCTCAGCAACAAAAATTTGGCACCCATCCATGAACAAAAGTGCAATTGTAGAAGTTGTGGGATCTAGCATCATACACCAAGGGACCTGGATAAACCTTGTCCACCTGTGCATCTGGTAATAGGCAGAAAACCTCCATCTTGGCTGTGGACTTTGAGGTAGCTCATGAATGGTTCCAACCCCTCCTGGCCACAGTCAGGGAGCATCTGGAGAACACTGACTTGCCCAGTCACCCACAGACAAGAGAGCTTTGTGGAAGTCCTGGTTTCCAGATAAGAAATTCCACTACTTTGTTGGAGCAAAAAATAAGAGTTTGGACGCATTGGATTGGATAAGAAGAAGAGTTTGCCTTTGCCTGCATCACATGCCCCCCAAGGTGATACAGTTAAGGTCAAATGAGACTTTTTCATCCCACAATTTCTCCCACGGTGAGGAAAGGGAGAGTAGGTGAGTGGGTACCAGTCTTCCCTAGATGTGCAGGACACCACCAAAGCATCCAGAGTACTAAATTGTGGGATGAGAAGAGATGAGAAGAGTGGCAGATATGATTCTCAGAGAGCATTAAAGAGATGTAGTTCTGTTGACTGTGTTGTGGACAACCGTCAGGAAACCCACCCATGAGATGCTGGGACAGCTTCACTTGCAGATCCCCCCAACTGGTTGCGGGCATCCCCATTGACAGGCTTATCTCAGCCACACTTCCCCCACCTCTGCAGCCAACTCCCTGTGCGTGCTCCTGAGAGTGCTTTGGTGGATAGCTAAGAGCACTTGTAGAAAGCAAGCCAGGTTCTGTGGGCTAGAGAAAAATCACAACTTGAGCTGTAGGGAAACAACATGACCTTAGGGAAAACAGAAACTGTTGGCGCTTGCCCTGGTGTGTTGCAAGACTCAGAGAAAATATACAAGTTTAAGAGTTCTGCCACAAGAGGGAGCAAGAAGTATGGATAAGGGTTATGCAGTTGAGATGGGAAAAAGCCTCTGGATTTCTAGCAGAGCTGATGAAAGGCAGTTTGCTTTTCCTTGACGGCAGTTAGGGCAGTTAGTAATCGGGGAGACGACTGCTACTTCAAATGTAAGAGACCAGCACAAAACTTCAAGGAATATGAAAAATCAAAGAAAAATGATACCACCAAAGGATTACAGTAATCTTCCACTACCAAACCCAAAGACACAGAGATCTAAAGTTTATCATATAAAGAATTCAAAGTAACAGTTTTATTATATATGTATATATAACATTAGAAATATATTGTACATATAAATTATGTACGTATATTACATATTATTTATTATATGTAATTATATATTATTTGTATATAATTATACATTATTTGTTATTACATATTATATTATTATATATTATTTCTATATAAAATATAATGTTTATATTGTATATAAAATATAATTATTTCATTCATATGAAATGTCCAGAAAAGGCAAATTGATAGGCACAAAAAGATTAGTGGTGCCCTGGAACCACTAATTATATATTATATATTATTTGTATATAAAATATAATGTGCATAAGCAAATTATATATATATAATGGAATACTATTCAGTTATTTAAAAAAAAGAAGGAAATCTTGCCATTGGTAATAACATGGATGGACCTTCAAGGAATTATGCTAAAGTGAAACAAGTCAGACAAAAGAAAATATGATCTCATGTGTGGAATTTAAAAAGGGGTTCAACTCATTGAAACAGAGTTGAATGGTAGTTACCAGAAGCTATAGGATGGGGAAATGAGATGTTGGTCAGAGTACAAACTTCCAGTCAGAAGAAGAGTAAGTTCTGGGTATTTAATGCATCACGTACAAAACAGATGAACGTAAGAGAAGGGAAGCAAAAGTAATATAAAAACAGGTAGGGGGACAAAACATAAAAGACTCTTAAATATAGGGAACAAACAATTTTTGGAAGATTTTTGGAAGGGGGGATGGTCTAAATGGGTAAGAGGTATCAAGGAATCTACTCTTGAAATCACTATTGCACCATATGCTAACTAACTTGGATGTAAATTAAGCAATAAATAAATAAATAATGCACATCATGATGCTTATGGTTAACAATACTGTATTATATGGTTGAAAGTTGCTAGAAGAGTAAGTGTTAAATGTTCTCACTACAAAAAGATATGGTAATTGTGTGATGTAATAGAAGAATTAGCTAATGCTATGGTGCTAATCATTTTGTAATAGGTGTGTCAAACCAAAACATTGTACATCTTAAACTTACACTATCTTATATGTCAAATGTATCTCAATAAAACTTGAAAAAAAATAAATGCATGACATAATCGTATTGACAGAAGTAGAGAAAAATGAGTGCTCGAAGTAACTGGAAAAGAGTGCTTTGAGCAGATACTGTAAGGCCCAAGACATAAACAACTGCATAGATATTGTACTCTAATTGGTAAATTTTTCCTCAGAGAGGTACAGATTAGCAATTATTTCTTTTTTCTTTTTCTTTTTTTTTTTTTTTTTTTTACAAATAGTTTATTGTCAAGTTGGTTTCCATATAACACCCAGTGCTCATCCCCACAAGTGCCCTCCTCCATGCCCATTCCCCCCTCAGTTTGTTCTCAGCTTGTTCTCAGCATTCCAGAGTCTCTCCTGGTTTGCCTCTCTCCCTTTCCCCCACCATTTCCCCTCTTCTTCTCCCACATGGTCCTCCGTTAAGTTCCTCCTAATCCTCCTATACGTGCAAACGTATGATATTTATCCTCTACCTGACTTATTTCGCTCAGCATAACACCCTCAAGTTCCATCCACGTTGCTACACATGGCCAGATTTCATTCTTTCTCATTGCCATGTAGTATTCCATTGTATAGATAAACCACATCTTCTTGATCCATTCGTCCGTTGATGGACACTTAGGCTCTTTCATGTTTTAGCTATTGTGGAGAGTGCTGCTATGAACATTGGGGTACATGTTCTCCTATGCATCAGCATTTCTGTATCCCTTGGGTAAATTCCTAGCAGTGCTAGATTAGCAATTATTTTAAAAAGAACACTTGAATAAGGCAAAAATTGCATATCAGAAAATCTACCCCATCTTAACTGCATGAGTCAAGGATTTTAGTAAACTTACCTAGATATGTAGTCAGCATCTTAATTCAGTTTTAGAACATTTTTGCCGTTCCTACAAGATCCCTAATGATAGTTTTAGTTCTCCCTGTTCCAGGGCACCACTAATCTTTTTGTGCCTATCAATTTGCCTTTTCTGAACATTTCATATTAATGAAATCATAGAGTACATGGTGCTTGGTATGTAGCTTCTTTCAGTGAGCACATTTTTGAAGTTAACTCATATATTAACAGGTATCATCTTTCATTCATTTTTATTGCTGAATAGTATTGTCTTCTATGGCTGTAGCACATTCTTTTTTTTTCTCCCTCAGCATTGTTGTAACTTTTAATGACAATTTGAAAAAAGTAAAATTAGAGTTATTACATTTTACTTCTGTATCTCAAACTTTTTTCTTTTTAAAAATTCTCTTAAATGTTTATTTTTGAGACAGAGAAATACAGAATATGAGCAGGGGAGTGGCAGAGAGAGGGAGACACAGAATCCTAATCAGTCTCCAGGCTCTGAGCTGTCAGCTCAAGCAGGGCTTGAACCATGAACTGTGAGATCATAAACTGTGAGACCATGACCTGAGCCATTCACTTAACCAACTGAGCCACTAGTTGCTTTTGTATCTCAAAGTTTTAATTACTTTCAAAAGAGATATTTGAAAGGTTAAGAGAAACATTGAGATGAAACATATACTTAATTTTTAAAGCCTTAAACAAATAATTGAGTTAAATTTTGTTCCTAATGATACAAATGAAATATTGTAGCATTGTTCTCCAAATACACTGAAATGTAGCACATATTCTTTATCTATTCTTAGGCTAATGTACATTTAGGTTTATTTCACTGTTGGTCTTTGTGAAGACATAAGTTTTCATTTCTCTTAGGTGGATATCTAGGAGTAGATGTTGTATGGTAAATTTATGTTTAACTATTTTTTAATGCCAAACTGTTCTATAGTGGCTGTACCATTTTACCTACATACAAGCAAGGTATGAATGATTTTATTTCTTCCCAGCATTGCCATCATTTGACTATTCTCTGTCCTTTTGATTACAGACATTCTGTGGGATGTGAAATGGCATTTCATTGTGGTTGTCATTTACATTTCCCTAAAAAAATTATTTTGATCATCTTTTCATGTGGTTAGAAGCCATTTGTGTATTTCTTTGATTAAATGTCTTTAAAACTTTTTATTTTTTGCCTATTGTAAAGTTTTATCTTTTAAGTTCTTAAAATTTTAAGAGTTCTTTATGTATTCTGGATGCAACTTCTTTATTGGATACATGATGTGAAAATATTTTCTTTCAGTCTACAGCTTGTCTTAACTTTCTTTCTTCTTATTTTTTTTTTTTTATTATGAGAGAAAGAGAGAACATGAGTGGGGGAGATGGGTAGAGGGAGAGAGAGAGAATCTTAAGCAGGCTCCATATTCAGCACAGAGCCTGAATTGGGGCTCAATCCCACATCCCTGAGATCATAGCCTGAGCCAAAATCAAGAGTCTGGCACTCAACCAACTGAGCCACCAAGGCACCTCTTAACTTTTTAAAAAAATGTTTTATTTATTTTTGTAGACAGAGCATGAGCTTGAGCAGGGGAGGGGCAGAGAGAGAGGGAGACACAGAATCTGAAGCAGGATTCAGGCTCTGAGCTGACAGCACAGAGCCCAATGTAGAGCTTGAACCGACGAACCAGGAGATCATGACCTAAGCTGAAGTTGGACACTTACTTAATCGACTGAGCCACCCAGGCATCCTCCCCATCTTAACTTTCCTAATGTTAGTCAAAAGTTTTGAATTTTAATGAAGCCTGATGTATTAAATTTTCTTTTATAAATCATGCTTTTAAACTTGTCTCTAAAAAAATCATTGCCTAATTAAAATCTCAAGATTTTCTATTTTTTCTAAGAGTTTTATAATCAGCTATAACATTTAGGGATGTAGTTTACTTTGAGTTGGTTTTTGTATATAATGAGAAGTTACTACCTAGTGTCATTTTGTATCACCCTGAAGTATTCTCTTCAGCATTTCTTCTAAGACATTTTTGCTAATATAATAACAAATATTGTTAGTTTTTTAAAAATCTAGTAATGTTTTTGTTTTATCTTTTTTTTGAATAATAATTTTACTGGGTATTAAATTCTTGGTTGTGAATTTTTGCTTTCAGCACTTTAACTTAATTTTTTTAATGTTTATTTATTTTTTGAGAGACAAAGAGAGACAGAGCACAAGCAGGGGAGCAGCATAGGAAGAGGGAAACATGGAATCCAAAGCAGGCTCCAGGCTCTGAGCTGTCACAGTGCCCAACTCAGGGCTCAAACCTACAAATTGTGAGATCATGACCTGAGCCCATACTCAGCCTGGCCCATGCCACCCATGCGCCCCTTTCATCACTTTTAATATGTCATTCTGCTGAGTTCTGTCTTCTATTATTTGTGATATAAAGTCAGATGTTAATCTACTTAATAGCTTTATTGATATATAAGACACATACCATTCATTTCACTTATTTACAGTGTGTAACTCAGTGGCATTTAGTACATTCACAGAGTTGTGCTTCCATCATGATGTTCAACTTTAGAACATTTTCATTATGTGGAAAAGAAATATTCATACTGCAAGCCATCATCCACTAATCTAATTTCTGTCTCTATAAAATTTCCCTACACCGTACATTTCAGACAAATGGAATTTATAGAGATAGTCTTTTATGACTTGCTTTTTAAAACTTAGATCTGATCTCTAAAACTACTCTTCTTAATGTGTATTTCTTTATTAATCATCTCAAAAAAATTTAGTTATTTCAATTTTATTGGCAACTGTGTATTAAAATTAGTTACAAATGGAATCTCTCTTACAGTTAATATCTTTTCTAAATATTTCTAGGAAGATCTGAGTACATTTCACCCCATGTGACTAAAACTCCAAAAGCATATCATAAAACATCTAGAGCTGGGTCAACCATTCATAAAACCATCCAGTTTCCTTCACTGACTAAGGAACCTTCAGGTAATTTTTATTCTTATTGTACAACGTAATTTTTTTAATTAGTAAAGATTTAATTATATGGAAATAACCATATCATCCTAGCCTTAATCATATAACCAGCTTAGCAAAACATAAGTGAAAGTAAACACTGATAAAGCTCATCTAACCTATATGCATTTTTATATATCTCTTCCTTCCCTGCCACCAGTAAATTGGAGCTCCATTTTTTTCTCAGCCTTCCTTTCTTGCTCACTATTATAGATCCTGCAGATGGCTGAGATAAACTCATTTTATAATACTTCTTTTTATATTTATATATTTTCCTTTTCTCCAACCCCAGGAACGATCTGCCACAGAGAAACTCAGTATGAGGGTAGATTGGAAGGAAAATAAACATTATGTTCACTGTTCCTTTTCCTTCATTACTATCTTCCCAGCCAATATCTAGGAACTAATTTACAGACCTCATTTCCTATCATTGCTCCAGAGGCATTATATAATCATCATCTTACAGATACCCTTTGGATATTGAGTTTGAAAGTTTTTTAAAATGTAGATTATTTTCCTTTGGTCTATTATATTCTCTAAAGCCCCAAAGAATTATATATACTACCAATAATTTGGCCAGTTTTTCTTTCTCCCTCTGCATCTTTATCTCATCATTATATCCATTGGTTACGTTTTACCATCCAATGGATTTTGTAATTCAGAGATAAAATAAATTTGACTATTAAGTAAGGCATGATTAGGCAAACAAGCATTCTGTAAAATTAGAAAAATTAGTTATAATATGCTCTTTATGTTCAGATAAACTCTTTTTCTTCCTACTAACTTTGAGAGAATGAGATTAGTAGTTTTACAGTATATGTATATTTTAGACAACTTGAATTGACTTTTAGATTCACTTGCTACTTCATATAACCTACCATACTGCTTTCCATTTATTAGCTCCTTGTTCACCTACAATTTGGGTTTTCTTTCCTAAACTAGAGCTTTCCTTTTGATAGAGGTGTTAATTATAAGCAGCAATACTGCCTTAAGAAATGAGAAAGAGAAAGAGAATAAAAACCAACAAATAGTCTGGATAACTTACTATCTAAACTTCTATTCCATAATTAGAGAAAAATAATAGTGGTCTTCTTTTATGGATGGAATAGAAATGATTCTATCATAAATGTTTTTATATTCTATCAAACCATGAAGTGTTGAACCTAAAAATAATAAGAGATAAATATTTTTAAAGCAAACACTTACCTTAAGGAAATGGAAGAATTCAAAATGTTTTATTTCTCTCTGTACAACATATATTGTAAAAACTCAATGCATCAATATAGTACATTTTTCCTACTAATTTTGAGAAAATACCATCTAAATACCCCACATTATGTTTATTTTAGTGTATTTTTCTTCAAATAAGCATGTTGAAACTATTTCCTTTATTACATAGTTTTGTTTCTAACTGTTGAAAGTATGTATCTTAAAAAAAAAGAAAGTATGTATCTTAACACTAATATTTCTAAACATGTCTGCTTCCATTAACACTACATCTTTCACTGTAGTAATATAAAATTTGTTAATAAATGTATGCTGTTATATAAAGATAAAAACTTTATATGAGAATTTATCAATTTAATTGTTTAAGTATTTTTTATTATACTAAAAGAACCCTCTTTGGCATTTTTTATAAATTTTATTTATTAATTTAAGAGAGAGACTGTGCATGAATCCAAGTGAGTTGGGGAGGGGACAGAGAGAGAGAGGGAGAGAGAGAATCCCAAGCAGGCTCCACACTCTCAGCTTAGAGTCTAACACGAGATTCAGACTCACAAACTGTGAGATCATGACTTGAGCTGAAATCACTAGTTGGATGCTAAACCATTTGAGCCACCCAGGTGCCCCTCTTCCTCTAGCACCGCTGTATACAATATTTCTAATATTTCTTTTTTTTAATTTGTACTCTTACTGGGTTTTTTAAAAGTTTTTATTTATGTATTTTGAGAGAGAGAGCATGAGTGGGGTAGGAGCAGAGGGAGAGAGAGAGAGAGAGAGAGAGAATCCCAAGCAGGCTCCATGCTGCATTGAGCCTGGGGTGGGGTGGGGCTTGAACTCACCAACCATGAGATTGGAAACTGATTGGAAATCAAGAGTCAGCCACTTAACTGACTGAGCCACCCAAGAGCCCTGGTTTTGTTATTTTATTTTATTTATTTATTACATTTTTTTACATTCATTTATTTTTGACAGAGTCAGAGCATAAGTGGGGAAGGAGCAGAGAGGAGACACAGAATTAGAAGCAGGCTCCAGACACTGAGTGTCAGCACAGAGCCGGATGCGGGGCTGGAACCCACAAACCGCGACATCATGACCTGAGCCAAAGTCCATTGCTAACCAACTGAGCCACCCAGGCGCCCCGCTGGTTTTGTTTTTAAATATCAAATACCCAGCAGGGAAAAACCAGAGAGAAAATATGTGTGTTAGGAAAACTGCTATAAGTTATTTTTAAAATTTTAAGAAAGCTGTGCTTTAAAATTGGATTAAGATTTATTTAAAAATTTTAAAAGTTGAAATCAGATCATTTATAAGATAACTTAGTAATATTATTTCATTTTTTAGGGCATCGAAAAAATTCTATCTCAAACAAAAAAAATGTTGAACTTACTCTGCCTGCTGTGATCTCTCCAACTAAAAAAACTATCCATAAAGGTAAAAAAAAAATCACTGCTATACAAAGAGAAATGAAATAAAACTTTATAGTATGTCTTAACTGTTTCTATTTACTACTCACCTCAAACCTACGGGTCCCTTTCTCCAGACAACCAGTGTTATGAAACAAGTATATTTTTCTAAACATTTCTTCAAACTTGTGTTACACACACACACACACACACATACACACACACACACAATCTACATATATGAGTTTGCTGGTTCTGTACATAATCGACTAATATGTATAGACCTTTCTTGCCTCCAATCCAGATAAACTGATAATATATACCTCTTTTATATCTCACACCTTTAAGTTACTGCATGATATTCTATAATGTGAATGTGCTATATTTTATTCAACCATTCTTCTACTGAATGACTTTAGATTCTTATCAAATTAGCTTTTTGACTATTATAAGAAATGGTACAATAAATATCACTGTACATATTTATCTGTGTTGTGGTGATTGTATTTTATAAAAGAAGGTAAACATGTATTACATTAAAGGTATATATATATATTTTATTTTAATATATATTTCCAAATTACTTTTCAAATTATCATAGTTAATAATTTTGCTAGTAATTTCATGAAGGATTTATTTCCCAGCATCTTAATCAGCCCTAGACTTTTCATAGAATGGAAAACTTAATATTTTTAAGCAATCAATACTATATAATCTACAGATTGAGTATAATACCTATCAAAATCCCAGCAATGGTTTCTTAAAGAAATAGGAAAATCCATCTAAAATTCATATGGAATCTTAAGAGATCCTAAATAGTCAAAATGATCTTGAAAAAGAACAAAGTTGGAGAACATACACTTCATCATTTTGGAAGTTACTACAAAGCTACAGTAGTCAAAACAGTGGTACCAGCATAAAGACCGACATTCAAATTAAGGCAATAGAATAGAGGACCCAGAAATAAACTATTATGTATATGGTCAAATTACTTTGATAAGGAGGCCAAGACCATTTAATGGGAAAAAGAGAATTATACAACATATGGTGCTGAAAAAACTGGATGTCCACATGCAAAAGAGTGAAATTAGATCCCTACCTTACACCTTATGTTACAGCTTAAAATAGATCAAAGACCTAAAACTAAGTGCTAAACTATAAAGCTCTTGGAAGAATACATAGGGTAAAATCGTAAAGACATTGTATATGACAATAATTTCTTGTGTATGACACCAAAGGCACAGTCAAACAAAGAAAACATGGACAGGTTTTATCACAATTTTAAAATTATTCATCAAAAGACAAGGTTAATAAAGTAAAAAGGAAACCCACAGAATGGGAGAAAAATATTTGCAAATCATGTATCTGAAGAGCAGTTCACAACCAGAATATATAGAGAACTCTTAAGCTCAACAATGAAAACAAAAAACTTGATAAAACAGTGAGTAGAGGACCTTGATAGACATTTCTCCAAAGAAGATATACAAATAGCCAATAGGCACATGAAAATATCATAAATTTCATTATTCATCAAGGAAATGCAAATCAAAACCACAATGAGATATCACTTTATACCCAGAAAGGTAGCTATTTTTATGAAGGAAATAAAAAGAAAGAAAGTAAATATTGGTGAGGATGTGGAGGAATTAGGACTCTTATGCACTGCTGCTGGAAATGTGAAATGATGCAACTGTTATGTAAAACAGTATGGTGGTTCCTCAAAATATTGAATATAGCATTACTGTATGATTCAACAGTTCCATTCCAGATATATACCCAAAAGAATGAAAGCAAAGACACGAAATGATCTTCATTTATAGCAGCATCATTTTTGATAGCTAAAAGATAGAAGACTTTCAAGTGTCCAACAGTGGTTAATGGACTAAAAAAAAAAAAAAAATGTGGCATATGCATGCAATGGAATATTATTCAGCCTAAAGAGGAAAGCCTGATACAGCATGGTTTAGCATATAACATGGATGAATATGAAAGACATTACACTAAGTGGAATAAGCCAATCACAAAAGGACAAACTATGAAGTATCTTAACATGGTCAAATTCATAGAGACAGTAAGTAGAATGTTGGTTTCTAGAAGCTGGAGAAATGGGAATGGAGAATTATTTTTTAATGGGTACAGTTTCAGTTTTGCAAATGAAAATGTTCTAAAAATGGAGAGTGGTGATGTCTGCACAGTGTGTATGTACTTAATGTCACTGAGCTATAAACTTAAAAGTGGTTTAGAGGGTAAATTATATGTTATCTATATTTTACTACAATTTTTAAAATAAATGTATGCTAAAAATGTTTTATCTTTGGTTATTTACATTTAATGAGAACTAAGCATATTTTAATATTGTTATTATTACCTATTTTAATTTTCTCCATGAATAACCTACTTATATTTTTTGCTTATATTTCTAGTATTTGCTTTTGTTATTGCAGAAGTTTTTTGCATAATAGGATTTAATTGTTTTTAATTTTTCTCTCAATTCAAATTTACAGAGAAATTTAAGGAATTCTCATATAGTCTATACCAAGATTTATCAATTGTTTATATTCTGTATTTTTGTTCTATCATTTTCTCTATGTTCATATATATATGATATAGATATAGATGATATAGATATAGATATAAGTGTGTGTCTCACATATTATTTTTTCTGAAATGTATAAGGGTAACTTGAAGAAAGTGACCATATTGTCATCTCCATACCTTCATATCTAAGCACAGAATGAACACTATAAAATAACTGAAAATGAAATATCAATGTGGTGATTACTTAATCCGCCACACTCAGGCCAGGGACAAAACACTGGCCACAGGAAGCAAGGAGAGCCTCTGCAGACAACTGGCCTGAAGGATAGAGCAGCCAGAACACAACAGCAGAGCACATGCTTCAGAGATACCCCCTGAAGTGTCAGGCCCTGGGCACTACATGACCTCTTCTTCATAAGGCCATTACTTCCAGAATCAGGAGACATGACTGGCTTTTCTAACACACAGAAGAAAGCAGAGGCCTAGACAATGCAAAGATGGATGAATTTATCCCAACTAAAAGAAAAAGATAAAGCCACGGCCTGAGATCTAAGTGAAACAGATATAAGTAACATGCCTGATGGAGAATGTAAAACAGCAATCATAAGGATACTCACCGGGCCTAAGAAAAGAATAGAAGACATCAGTGAGAACCTTACCACAGCAATTGAAGAGTTAAAATGAAATCAGAGATGAAGACAATAAATGAGATTAGAAACAGACTTGATGGGCAGAAGATATGAACAGACACTTCTCCAAAGAGGACATCCAGATGGCCAACAGACACATGAAACGATGCTCAGCATCCCTCCTCATCAGGGAAATACAAATCAAAACCACACCCAGATACCACCTCATGCCGGTCAGAGTGGCTAAAATGAGCAAATCAGAGAACACGAGATGCTGGCGAGGATGTGGAGAAACGGGCACCCTCCTACACTGTTGGTGGGAATGTAAACGGGTACAGCCCCTCTGGAAAACAGTGTGGAGGTTCCTCAAAAAATTAACAATAGAACTCCCCTATGACCCAGCAATAGCACTGCTAGGAATTTACCCAAGGGATACAGAAATGCTGAGGCATAGGGGTACAGGTACCCCAATGTTCACAGCAGCACTCTCCACAATAGCTAAAACATGGAAAGAGCCTAAGTGTCCATCAACAGACGAATGGATCAAGAAGATGTGGTTTATCTATACAATGGAATACTACATGGCAATGAGAAACAATGAATCTGGCCATGTGTAGCAATATGAATGGACCTTGAGGGTGTTATGCTTAGTGAAATAAGTCAGGCAGAGAAGGAAAAATACCACATGTTTGCACATATAGGTGGATTAGGAGGAACTTAATGGAGGACCATGGGGGAGAAGTAGGGGGGGAAATAGCGGGGAAGAGGGAGAGAGGCAAACCATGAGAGACTCTTGAATGCTGAGAACAAACTGAGGACTGATGGGGGTGGTGGGGAGGGGAGTGATGGGTATGGAGGAGGGCACTTGTGGGGATGAGCATTGGGTGTTATATGGAAACCAACTTGACAATAAACTATTTGTAAAAAAAAAAAAATGTTCCATGTACACTTAAGAGAATGTATATTCTTCTGGTACTGTATGAAATGTCCTGTATATGTGTCTCTTGGGTCTATTCAGTCTAAAGTGTTGTTCAAGTTCATCATTTCCTTATTGGTTTTCTGCCTGAATTATCTATTCATTGTTAAGAATGGGATATTAAACATTGTTGAAAGTGGGATATGAAGTTTACTGACATTGCATTGCTGTCTATCTTGCCTTCAGATCTGTATATTTAGGTGATCTAATATGGGGTATGTATATATTTATAAGTTATATCCTCTTTATGAAATGACTCCTTTATCATCAAAAACTTATTTTGTCTTTTTTGATATTTTTAGCATAAAGTTTACTTTGTCTGATAAAAGTATAGCTACTCTTATTCTCTTATGATTTTTATTTGCATGGAAAATCTTCTTCCATCTCTTCACTTTCAGTCTATCAGTGCTGTTAAAGTTTAAGGAGGTCTATTGTAGGCTGCATATGGCTGAATCTTATTTATTTTTTAATCCTTTTAAGTCCTCTATATTTTAACTGGAGAATTTAAACAATTTATATTTAGTATAATTATTGACGGATAAGGACTTAGATCACCATTTTGTTCATTGCTTTCTGATTGTTTTATAGTTCCTTTCTTCCTCTCTTGCCATCTTTCTTTGCAAATTGATGATTTTTTATAGTGATATGCTTTACTTTCTCCTTATCACTTATGTATCTATTATAGTTTTTTGCTTTGTTATTATCATAATGCTTTCATGATACATCGCATAGCAGTTTATTTTAAGCTGATAACAACCTAAATTTAATTCCATAAAACGTCCTACACATTTACTTGCACTCCCAATTTTATTTTGTTGATGTCTCAATTTATCGTTTATATTGTGTTTACATTAGCAAAATATTGTATCTATAGTTATTTTAACATTTTTGCCTTTTAACCTATGTGCTAGAGTTCAGCCTAATTTATACATCACAATTACAGTACTAGAGTATTTTGATTTTGGCTACATATTTTCATGTTCCTAATTAGCATCGTTTCATTTCAGCTTGAATTAGTGCCTTTAGCATTTCTTGTAGGGCAGGTGTAATGGTGTCAATTTTAGGGTAGGGTATAGGATCTCCAATTCCTGGAAGGCACAGCAGTATATTCTCTGTGAAGCTCCATCAATTGAGGTCAATGTTGGGGAATATTGTGGGGGTCTTGTGGTCAAAATTGTGGAGGTCCTATGGGTGGCAGTAGCAGCTAAGTGCTGTCAGGGTGCTCAAGAGTGAAGGCTGCTGGGATCTTCCTGTTCTTTTTTGCCTGGGGAAGAGGTTCTAGCTGAGTGGATCCCTCTCAGTGCCAGTTCCAATATATTGACACTCAGATTAGCAGTAGAGCCAGTCCTGAGATCCAATTGCAAGTGGCACTTGGATCCTGGGACACAGTGCACTTGCTGTGGCAGGGGCACTAGTGCTTGAGGTGAGGGTATGTGCAGATTTTATGTGGAACTGAGATACAGTCTCTGGAGTTCACTGTGGTGCTTGGAGAAAGGAGTTTGCAACAGCATCATGGGCCCTGTGGTAGCAGGGTATGGTGGTGGTTTGGCCTAGGGAACTGGGTGCAGTAGCACCTTGGCCTGGGACTGGTAGATCAAAGTCCCAACTCTGGCCCCAGAGAGTAGTCTGGGAACAGCAGCAGTAAATCCAGGTGATATAATGTTAAAGTCCTGTGGCAGAACCCAGAGGGTAGACTTCCAAGTAGAGGTTGCTTCTATTGTTAATGGCAAGTCAAAGCCACAACCTGGGATCTAGGGCAGAGGACAGAGCAGTGGCGTCTCCTCTGGTTGCATAGATGATGAGGTGTGGTTTCTCAACTGGGGTAGCAGTGACTGGGGTGCCTGGGGCCAAGTCCCACCACAGCAATGGCTTCAGTCCTGGAGAGGAGATGGGACAAGTTGGGAGGGGAACCCCAACCAGCTCTATAGCTGGGATTAGTGTTGGTACATACTGTGGGAATAGCAAAAGTGCAAAAATCTATGGCAGTGAAGCTTTCTGGGGCTCTCCTGTTCTCATTGTCCCCGAGGGGTGAAATCCCTCCAAGGGGACTTGTCCTGGCTGCCCTTGAATGGAGAATGAGGTGACTCAGTTAAAAGTGTTTCCTCCACTTTTCTATGTGGTCATCCTTGGTTTTTGAGCTCTGCAGGATTTATGCTGCTTTTTCTTTGTGGTGCAGAGATTTTCTAGAGCTGTTTTCATTGGTTTCTAGTTTATTCTTGTTATTGTTTTGTTGGGAAAACAAGCATTGGGATCTTCTAGCCCTCCATCTTGTTTATATTACCTCTATTATTATTTATTCAAAGAAATCATGCATCTTTTTGCTCCCCCTTTTGACTGTCCAGGGCCTGTCTGTTTAGGAAGTATTCTTTGAATAATGTCTCTTGGTCTCTCTTGGTGAGACTTTGGTTATTTTATTTCCCTACTCATAGTGGTATTTGGGACTCTCCACCATGTGTACTTTGGCTTGTTTCTTGTGGTAGCTGCACTTATGAGGTTGCCTTCCCAGTGTACTCTGCCTCTTTCTCTTCCCAAAATTCTGCAGCTCAGTGTCCTATGGCTTCAGGCCTTCTCTGTTTGAAAGATGGGTGCAAGTGAAATGCATGGAGCTCCCTACTTCTCTGCCATCTTGCCTCCCTCCTTCCACTTTTTAACATGTAATAATATGTCTTGAAAATCTTTCCATATCAGCACATTCAAATCAGCCTAATTTTTGATGTCCTTTATATTTGAGAATACCATAGTTTATTTAACTAGGCCTCTGTTAAATGGGCACTTTGGTTGTATTCAGGTTTTTAAAAAAAATTTTTTTTAATGTTTTATTTATTTCTAGGAGAGAGAGAGAGACAGCGTGAGCAGGGGAGGGTCAGAGAGAGAGAGAGAGAGTCACAGACTGAAACAGGCTCCAGGCTCTGAGCTGGCAGTCAGCACAGAGCCCGACGCGGGGCTCGAACCCAGGAAACGTGAGATCGTGACCTAAGCGAAAGTCGGACGCTTAACCGACTAAGCCACCCAGGCGCCCCTGTATTCAGGTTTTTAACAGTGCTGCAACAAACATCATTTGAATAAATAGATATTTTATAATCCATTTTTGGTTACTATCCACTGAAAGATCAATCTTCTACCTAAAAGGAATTGCCACTATTTCCTCTCTAACACTAATTTTATGATCCTTTTCTTTCACAGTACACAAATTGTCTCTCACTTAAAATTGTCTTTTTGAAGAACCATAGATATATTAAGCATATATATTATATGTATTTCAACCAAAAAACAACATTCCAGTGAACTGGAACTTTAAAAATTTCTCTATCAATGCTTCTCAAAGTGTGGCCTCTAGACTAGTAACCTGGACATCAACTGGGAATATATTCGAAATACAAATTATTGGACCCTACCACAGACCTAAAGACTCAGAAGCTTTGGAGTTCAAGTCCAGCAGTCTGTTTTAATAAGTTTTCAGGGCGATTCTGACATCAGCTAAATTTGAAGAACCATTGAGCTATATTGATACTACTCTATGTAAAGGATGTCCCAGTATCATTTCTATAGAAACATAGATAAATGTACTGCTTTTCCATTTCTAATTCCACTGTTACTATTATTCATATATAAGTCTGTTTTCCCTATAAACATAAAATAAAAATTATATCAACTATAATGAAATTTTTTTAATCACAATAACTTTTCTTTAAAGTGTCATATACTGCTGCCCGAAAAACTCTACCCCACCATGTTTTTTGAGAATAAATGAATTCTGATCAAGATAACATGAGCAAATTCATGGAGACAGCAATGAACATTGCAAGTGTGGAAGCCTTATCAAAATAACTCTGACTTGAAAGGATGGTGCTTATTGAAAAATAGTGGGCAACACCCTGGATAAGTAGGGTAGGTCCATATCACAGAGGAGCTTAATTGGCAGCAGGTGAGTTTCAATGTTTGCAATTCTTTTTTTCATTTTAAAAATGTTAGTTATATTTTAAATCACAAATGATTAAAATATCCTATTCAAAATGTTAATGTTTAAACGCTGTGCAAATTTCAAAAAGAAAAGGAAATAAACATAAATGCCTCATGACAATACTGTGATTGATATGTGTTGGAGCATATTTTGTAGAATTAGTAATGTTTGTTTATTTTTGAGAGAGACCGAGCATGAGTGGGAGAGGGGCAGAGAGTGAGGGAAACAGAATCTGAAGCAGCTCTAGGCTCTGAGCTGTCAGCACAGAGCCTGACATGGGTGGGGCTTGAATTCATGGACCCCAAGATCATGACCTGAGCCTAAGTCAGGAGCTTAACTGACTGAGCCACCCAGGTACCCTAAGTGCTAATAATTTTAAAGACATGATCCTTGTCAATCAATGTTAATAACATTAAAATATTGTTTTTAACCACATTTTCACTATGCCCTACAGTGAGTAATGTTACTGGATGACATGGTCTTAAATTCAATCAGGATTATTACTGATCTGGATTATTACTGACATGAATATTTAAACTAATAATATTCTTTTGAATCTTGAATGTTACATATACCCAGGAAGAATTAGAGCATTGGACAATGATATTAGTCTAAGTATATGGAGTTCCATTTTGTGTCAAAAATTAAGGAAAAATAGATTTCTACAGAAACAAAGTGGAATAAAATTAATAAAATAATGGCTATACTCTAAAATCTCTAATTTAAAGATGTTCATAATCTATATAGTAGTAAAAAATGTACAACTTATATATGGTAAAAAAGAAATTATAGATTGAGCCTAATTAAAGTATCAGCAAAGAAAAAAGTAAATGGAGTAATTCTTCACTAATGACTGACTCTGTTCTCCAAAACTGAAACATCTAGAGGTAATATAAAGATGAAACATATTAACAACTCTTGTGAGGGTTTTGGAGAGACTATATGCAGAAACACATAGTAAGACTACTACAAGTTGTCAAATAAATGGATTGTGAACAAGGTGAATTTTATATTTCTCTCTAGAATAATTTTTTTCAACATCAACTTTAGTTCAAGATAGCAATCTGTCCCCCTGAATGGCAATTGCTGAGATTATTTAAACTGGATCCATTCCATCTTCTCTGTTTCCCCCTATAGGCTATCCAGATAACAGTGCCATATATATTATGTAATAATTTGATTAAATGAGCTAACATGTGCTAAATAGGTGATTCTCAAGCCTATCTACAAAATAGAATTCATCTGGGGTGCTTTTAAAAAACACTAATTCTTGGGACACCTGGGTGGCTCAGTCAGTTAAGCTTAGACTCTTGATTTCAGCTCAGGTTATGATTTCATGTTTCATGAGTTTGTGCCCCGGTCGGACTCCACACTGACAGCTCAGAGCCTTCTTAGGATCCTCTTTCTTTCCCTCTCTCTCTCTCTCTCTCTCCCCCCGCCCCGTCCCTCCCCGCCTCGCACTTTCTCTCTCTCAAAATAAACTTACAAGATAAATAAAAATATTATTTCTCTGTTCTCATCCCCAGACCAATTAAACCAGATACTCTGTAATTCAAAGGTGCTACCAGAGTTGTGAACCATGTGAATCATTTGATGATATAAGAGAAATCAACTAATATCCAAAGCCATAAGCAAATAGTTGCAGCTGATTTTTTTTTAAACTCCAGATCTTATAGCTATTGGCAGAAGAAGCTCAATGAACAAATTTAATATGTATTGGTTCCATTTAAATATTTTCCTCCCAAACCATCGCTTTCATGGCAATTGTAGCTTTTACTCCACAGCACTCCACAATAGAATTTCCTGTGAAAATGGAAATGTTATGTATCTGTGCCCTCTATAAAGAGAGCTATGAGCAATATGCAGCTGTCAAACTCTTGAATATGGCTAGTGTGACTGAGAATCTAGATTTTTAATTTTAATTAGTTTAAATCTATCCATATGTGGTTTGTGACTCCAATATTGGATAGCACAACTTAAGAATTATCAATGATCCAACAGTTAATCAGGACCTAGGAAGGCAGTGAGCTATTCAGAAAAATATATAGAAAATATTTTTGTTGATTAATGACTAGTATAAATAAGAACAGACCCTTAGAGAAGTAGAAGCAGGAATAGTATTTCAACAGTATTGTTGGATAAAATATAGTGCTTTTTTTTTTATGATAGTAGGATGTCCCTTAATACTGAGTAGACAATGTCAGTTTCAACCAAGAACACTGGCTAGCTCAACTTAGGCCAGAATTTGGGCAAACCAAGTAGGATCTTCTACCTTTAGAAGGCTTTGGCTACCATCAAAGATAAAGCAAGTCATTTCCCTTTTTAACAATGCAGTTTAAAAAATTATTGTGACATTTATTTAAAATGGTAATGAAGACTTTATTCAAGACTATTGCAATAGGGCAGGGAGATTGAACTCAACTCCAAATATAGCAGACAGCTGGGGATTTATAGCCAATGAACAGAGTGAGGAGGTCAGTAGATGTAAAATTACTAAAAGGAGACTTCAAGGGTAGAAGCATTCCTACTAAATTAGCCAAACAGTATTCTTGCTAAAACCAGGCCAAGGGCAGAGGCCAAGGCCTAGTCAAAAAGAGGGCTTAGAGGAGTCCAAATATAATTTGGTTAAGGGGGGAGTCTTTGTCAATGTCCAGCTAAAATAAACTTTTTAATACTGAAAGATCACTGATTTTGAAAAACAAAAGCTCTAGATAATATTTTGAAAAATGAAATTAATGTAATATATGCTCTAATAACAAGAAATGTATAAAACTGAAAATTTCAGAAATGTTTGTATGTGTTTTTTAGAGGATAAATTAAGTGAAAATTACAATTACTTGGTTTATTTTCAGAATTCTTCTTTACTATCTGGAACAAATTTGAAACTCTAAGATCAAAGCCTTTTTGTTGCTGATGTTAAGAAAGGAGCTCTATATGGAAGTTCCAGCTTGCTTCTATTCACTAATGTCCCTGTAATAATTTCTGGCGTGACGTAAAAACAATTAAATAAACTTTGTTCTCTGCATGTTTTGATAATGTCATGATTATTTAAGTGTCACACTATTTGCAAGCATATTTTGTATGATGTTATATAGAGAAAAGTAATCTTCATACATTTCTTACACTTCCAGGTAAAAGAATTGAATTTAGAAAAGAAAATATCTTGCTTTATTATTTTCACATTAAAACTGGATATTCATTGAAGAGGTCAGAACAAAATTTTTATTCTTTATGTAATAATTAGTAAACACCAAATCATAGTAAATATTTAGTAAAACATCAAATCATACTACTAGCTGTAGTTGAACTATGAAAGATTTATAAAATCAAAGGACTTACTCTGTATGGAAATGTTAGTAAATATGAAATTTAATTGGTGCTAATATAAAAAGAAATATTGAAAAGAGGAAACAACTTATAAATACTGTATGAGTTAGTAGTTCAGTATCTTTAGTGGTCTTGTTTTCTCTTATCGTCCTGAAATTTATGCATTTTTATTATTATGATCATGTGTTTCTATTTATGTAGAGATTGTTTTAGTTATTTTTAGAATATTTTATCAACTTCTATTCCTAAATGTAAATTAATATTTTGGTTTCTTATTTACTTGAAAATCCAGATGAAATAAAGTTAAATAATACACGTATGCATTCAATTAGATTTTTCCAATATCCAAATTATTGTAACACTTCAAAATGTGCTTCTATTGATAGGGTTTAGAGGAAAAAAATTAAGATACTTGTATTTCTATGTTTAAGAATTCGATCTTTCATATATATCATCTCAATCCATAATATACAGTCATTGTGGATCCCAGAGATAGATTCAAAGTGATTTCTTTGTCACATCCTTGGTATCTCTCAGTGATACACAAATTTCTAAGTCAAATACATATGTACTCCATCAGCTCAGTAATTTGTTTTGAAAAATGTAAGAACTAGGCACTGGAAAAGATTGTATCCCACTTTATATACCTATAGATATTTCTGTAGACAATGGTAGGGTTTGAACCATGAGTTATAACAAATATTATGCAACATATAATTCTACTTCATGTAGAATTCCTTTCACAACTTGATATTTGAAAGATGACTATTTGATTTCTACCTAAGTACATGTAGTTACAGTGATCTTTCTCCCTCTTTTTCTTTCTTTGGTAGAAAATGAATTTTTTTATTGAAATATATTTAATATACAGGTTATATTAGTTTCAGGTATACAGTATAAAGTTCCAGTTATTTGACATATTTCTCAGTCCTCATCAAGGTAAGTGCACTCTTACTCCACTTTATTTTACCTATCTCCACATCCTCCTTCCCTTTGGCAATCATCAGTTTGTTCTCTATATCTAAGAGTCTATTTTTTTGTTTCACTTTTCTCTTTGTTCATTTGTTTTGTTTTAAATTTCACACACGAATGAAATAATATGGCATTTATCTTTCTCTGACTTATTTCACTTAGCATTATACCCTCTAGATCCATCCATATTGTTGCAAATGGCAAGATTTCATTCTCTTTTATGGCTAAGTCATATTCCATCACATATTCTTTATCCATCCATCTATCGTAGGAGTCTGTCACAGTCAGGTATCGTTCTTAACACTGAGTCAAATTGTACCTTTATATAATTTATTTCTATTTGTGAAGCTAGAATAAAACTAGAAAAAATATTTTAAAGATCACATGAGGTCAGCATCCTAAGCCTCTAATAAAGCAAATCCCATTCTCCCAACCTCCAGCCTCCCCTGTGCCCACCACATGTGAATAGAACTCCAGAGATCCTTCAAGCAGGGATCCTTCTGTTCCCCTCCATGAGGACCAGGAACCTACCAGCCTTTGCATTCACCTGGCCCCATTCTCCTCTGAAAATGGAATCTTCTGTGCTCCCTGTTTCTGGTGCTCCAGACTGTCTTCTAGGTCACCAGGAATTGGCTCCTGTGACCCCCCCACCCTGGACTCTCTTGAACATCTGCATCTCGCCTTTTTCAAGTCTCTCCAATTAAAGGAGGTAGGGGGAGATAGTAGTGGAGTAAAAGAAACCCGGGGTCACCTCGCTGAACAAACACAACTGTATAACTATCAAATCTTCTTCAATACCCCAGAAATTGACCTGAAGACTGGCAGAACAAACTCCACTACTAAAGGGAGTGAAGAAACCACACCAAAGAAGGTAGGAAGTGCAGAAACATGGATTAGGGGAGAAATGGATAGTGGGTACTGCAGAGGGGAGGGAACCATGGTCATAGAGAAAGGCTAGTGAGAGGGGAGCACACATAGGAATGCAAAAGGAAAACATATCCCCAAAGCCACTGGCTTGGAAAACCAGAGGAGCTAAATGTTGTGATGAGTGGGGCCTAGAGCTTGGATGGAATGGAGCCCTACTGCTCCTGGAGAGAAAGCAGGCAAATAACCCAGGGGGCAGGCAGCATGGAAACAGCAATCTGAAGAGCACCTGGGGAACAGAGCGGGGAGATTATTTACTCTTCTTGGTGCATTTTCCTGAGAGGCAATGTTGTTGAGGATGCCTCTCCAGGAACAATGGAGCTGGCCAGCACCATTTCCTTCCCTGACCCCTCAGCATTAACACAGAGCCACCTGCAGGAAACAGCACAGTGCCAACACTGGCTGCTGAACTTGCTTATACCAAGCCCCACTTCCCTGTGATCCCGTGGAATTGCCACTCTCAGTCACCCTTTCCTCAGTTTCAGCGTGATGGGACCCTCCCCCAGAAGACCATCACAAACTGCTGCTCACACCACATCTCCTAACCAGAGAGTTCTGCAAAGCCTCACTTCTGGTGACAGTAGTGTCAGGTCTCATTTCAAAAGGAGTCCAGAGCACACCTATGTAAAACTTGCCACATTCAGGCCAGGGAACAAAGACTGTCCACAACAGGCAAGGAGAGCCTCTGCAGACAACTGGCCTAAAGACAGAGCAGGAAGAATACAATAGAAGAGTTCACAAAACACACACCAAAGGCACTCCCTGAACTGCCAGGCCCTGGCAATTTCCCTGATGAACATGGATACAAAAATCCTCAACAAGATATTAGCCAACAGGATCCAACAATACATTAAAACAATTACCCATCATGACCAAGTGGGATTATACCTGGGATGCAGGGCTGGTTCAGTATCCACAAAATGATGAATCAATGTGATTCATCCCATCAATAAAAGAGAGGACCAGAGCCACATGATCTTGTCAATAGATGCAGAGAAAGCATTTGACAAAATACAGCATACTTTCTTGATAAAAACCCCCAAGAAAGTAAGGATACAAGGATGCTACCTCGAGATCACAAAAGCCATATAGGAAAGACCCACGACTTATATTATCCTCAATGGGGAAAAACTGAGAGAATTTCCCCTTAAGGTTAGGAACAAGACAGGGATGTCCACTCTCACCACTGTTATTCAACATTGTGTTGGAAGCCTTAGCCTCAGCAATCAGACAACACAAATAAATAAAAGGTATCCAAATCGGCCAGGAGGAGGTCAACTTTTCACTCTTTGCAGGTGACATGATACTCTATATGGAAAACCCAAAATATTTCACCAAAAAACTTCTTGAACTGATCCATGAATTCAGCAAAGCCACAGGATATAAAATCAGTGCACAAAAATCAGTTGCATTCTTATACACCAATAATGAAGCAACAGAAAGAGAAATAAAGGAATCGATCACATGTACAACTGTAGTGAAAACCATAAAATACCTAGGAAAAAATCTAACCAAAAAGGCAAAAAGTCTATATGCTGAAAATTATAGGAAGCTCATGAAAGAAATTGAAGAAGACACAAATAATGGAAAATTATTCCATGCTCCTGGTTAGGAAGAACAAATATTGTTAAAATATCAATACTACCCAAAGCAATCTCCAAATTCAATGCAATACCCATCAAAACAACACCAGCATTCTTCACAGAGCTAGAACAAACAATCCTAAAATTTGTAAGGAACCAGAAAATCTTGAATAGTGAAAGCAATCTTGAAAAATAAAATTAAAGCTGCAGGCATCACAATTCTTGACTTCAAGCTGTATTACGAAGCTGTAATCATCAAGACAATATGGTACTGGCACAAAAACAGACATATCAATGAAACAGAATAGAGAACCCACAAATGTATGGCCAACTAATCTTTGACAAAGCAGGAAAGAATATTCAATAGAATAAAGACAGTCTCTTCAGCAAATGGTGCTGGGAAAACTGGACAACAACATGCAGTAAAATGAACCTGGACTACTTTCTTACACCATACACAAAAACAAACTCAAAAGAGTTTATGACAGAGCTAACCATAAGACAGGAAGCCATCAAAATCCTGAAGGAGAAAGCAGGTGAAAATCTCTTTGACCTCGGCCACAGCAACTTCTTACTCAACACGTCTCCAGAGGCAAGGGAAACGAAAGCAACAATGAACTATTGGGACCTCATCAAAATAAAAAAACTTCTGCACAGTGAAGGAAACAGTCAGCAAAACTAAAAGGCAACTGACTGAATGGGAGAAGGTATTTGCAAATGACATATCAGATAAATCTATAAAGAACTTATCAAACTCAACACTCAAAAAACAATCCAGTGAAGAAATGGGCAAAAGACATGAATAGACACTTCTCCAAAGAAAACATCCAGATGGCCAACTGACACATGAAAAAATGCTCAACACTCATCATTAGAGAAATACAAATCAAAACCACAGTGAGTTACCACCTCACACCCATAAGAATGGCTAACATTAACAACTCAGGCAACAACTGATGTTGACGAGAATGCGGAGAAAGATCTCTTTTGCACTGCTGGTGGGAATGTAAACTGGTGCAGCCACTCTGGAAAACAGTATGAAGATTCCTCAAAAAATTAAAAATAGAACTACCCTATGACCCAGCAATTGCACTACTAGGTATTTATCCAAGGGATACAGGTATGCTTTTTTGAAGGGGCACATGCACCCCCAATGTTTATAGCAGCACAATCAACAATAGCCAAAGTATAGAAAGAGCCCAAATGTCCATCGACAGAT